CGGTTTCGCTGCTACGGGGCCCCACCATGGACCGGTGGCAAGTTATCGTAACATCGCCACGCGCCTACGAGCCACTGTCGCAAGAGGAAGAGCCCACGGGGCCGGCCGTTACCTGGATTTCGCTCTGTGAAACAGGCCAATATAGCATGTGGGATGCGTGGTGCGCGGGGCTTCGGGCACGCTTCGAGCCGATTGCGGCTTCTATCTCAGCGCGTCAGAAACTGCGCACTTTGTGGCAGCTCGGGTCGGTTCAAGTCTACACCAGCAGCTTTCTCGCTCTGTGCGAACAAGTCGGCTACATGCACGAGGCGGAGCGGGTGGACCGTTACGTCGGCAGACTGAAGCCGGACATTTTGCACGACATAATGTTTCGCGGGCTATCGAATTTCCATGAGATTCTCGCACTAGCGGAGAAAATCGACATTCTACGCCGACCGAGATCGGGGTTCTACTACGGATATCGCCCTCGGGGACTGGCCGAGCACACCACTGTACATGCTGTTGCGGCGAACGCAGCTGCTGCGCCGTTCAAGGGGCGCTGCTTTGCTTGCAATAGGCCGGGACATCGCAAGAGCGAATGCCTAGAGGAACTAAGGCGCCGAGGAACAGAGGAGTCAAGGGAGTCTCAGAGGCAGGGAAACGCCAGCAGTCAGTAGAAATCGAGCCAAGTACTGACGAGACAACCTGCTCGCCCAACCTCACCGACCCTCACCGAGTCACAGTACCGATTCACGCTACCGATCGGGCTCGGATGAATAAGGAGGGTATAGCAACGGATTGCCCAATACTGATTCATGAAAATGTACAGGGAGCAGCAGTGAAAATTTTTATAGACGGAGGAGCAACTCACAGCTTAGTTAATACCGCGACCGCACGGAAGCTGCAACTGACACTTAGTCGGTGTTTACCGGAGATAGACGCACGCTTAGTCGACAGCACGCCTCTGGCCATACGGGAGAAAGTGGAGAGAGTAAAAGTCCGCTGCGGGGGGAACTTCGGGTTTACACAGGAAATGCTCGCGACGACACTGAATGGGCACGACATTTTACTGGAACGTGATTGGCTGCGACATTATATCCCGCGAATCGACTGGACGACGGGTAGCTGTACTGTGCGAAGTAGCGGTAACTAGGTCGAACTACCTCGCTGGCAGTCGCGTGAGTCTTCAACGGTCCACCTCAACACCATCACGATGAAACGGGCTGTCGCCACTGGAGCTGATGTGTACACAATAGATATCGCAGTGGTAAGAGAAGCAGAGGCGCCAAGCGATTTTCAGAAACTTCTAGCAGCTGTACCGCTAGAACTACAGCAACTGTTGAAACGGTACGCGGGGAATTCCCCGGATGATTTACCGAAGGCACAGCCACCTCATTGGGCACACGATCACCGAATAGAACCGGGGGCACAGCCAACTGTACAGCGATAGTTTTGACTGACACAGCCCTAGCTCGATGAACTGAAGAGGCATTTAAATCGCCTGTTAGAGAAATAATTCATCCGACCGAGCTCGTCACCGTTCGCCGCCCCGATACTGTTTACATCGGAAAAGGACGGAGGGTTTCGCATGTGTATTGACTACCGAGGACTGAACCGAGTAACCATCAAATCGCGACACCTGATTCCCCGCACCGACGAACTGATAGATCAACTGCAAACAGCGCGCGTGTTTCCGAAGATTGACTAATGGGGGGGTTACCATCAGATTAGGGTCGAACTGTCAGACTGCGCCAAGACAGCCTTTAGAACTAGGTACGGGTCGTTTGAGTATACCATCATGCCCTTCGGACTAACCAACGCCCCAGCAACTTTTCAGATGACCATGAACGAGGCGTTTAGACCGCTTTTAGATAAGTGCGTGATAGTTTACCTCGACGACATCCTGGTCTATAGCCGCGACAAGCAGTAGCGCTTAACAAATTTAGAAGCAGTATTTAAGTTTTTAAACGAAAACCGCCTACTGACTAAGGGTTCAAAGTGTGAGTTTGTCACGACCAGTTAGAATTTTTGGGGCACGTAAATTCGTAGGTTGGAATCGAAATTGACCGAAGAAGTTGGACACAGTAAAAGCGTGGCGTCCCTTGACAAATATCATGGAGGTGCAGGGTTTTCAGGGTTTGTTAATTACGTCCGTCGGTTCGTCCTCGACATGGCGTGCTTAACCACCCCACTGACAGATGTGCTGCAAAAGGGAGTGGCGTTTATGTGGGGGGGGGAAGAGCATGCTGCCTTCTCTGCCCTGAAAACTGTTCTCTGCACACCGCTCCTCCTGCGCATGCCGACCCCCACCGCCCGTTCGAAGTAGATACTGACGCAAGCAACATCGCCATCAAAGCCGTACTGTTACATGACTTTGGCAACGGCCTACAACCCATTGCATACGAGTCATGAAAACTGCATCCGCCTGAGAAGTATCCGATACACGATCGCAAAATGCTTGCGATCGTGCACGCATTCAAAGTTTGGCGATGTTTCTTGACCGGCGCAGACGTGACAGTACGAACAGACCATAAATCTCTTCAGTACCTTCGTGCACAACCCCACCTCAACCCACGACAGATCCGCTGGCTCGATTATCTCGAGTCGAATTTTCACTACACGGTCACCTGCAATAAGGGGGCATCGAACATTGCCCACGCACTGACCCGCCCAACTGCCCAGATACACGCCATACTACTCGCCCAGACCAGCCTGCTACTGACAGGCCTATTTACCCACGGTTATCAAACAGACCCATTCTTCACAGGAGGTAATCTGCAGCAGGTTGCAGCAGCAAAGGGGGTTTATTACGTAAAAGCCGGCACCGATCGCATCTGGGTACCGGGCTACACTTTACTAAGGAAGCTGTTACTACAGGAGGCACACGACAGCGTTACCTCAGGTCACTTCGGGGTAGAAAAGACACGGTAGCAGCTGCAGCGGTACTATTACTGGCCCGAAATGTTGACCGACATACAGCAACACGTGGCATCGTGTCCCACCTGCCAACTCATGAAGTCATCACGGAAGCGGCCGGCGGGACAATTGCAGCCGATACCACCCCCAGAGCGTGCTTGGCAGCAAGTGACGATGGGCTTCGTCACGGGGTTACCGGCCGGAGAAAGTGGGAACGACGCGATCCTGGTCGTCGTCGATCTGTTGACGAAGATGGCGCACTTCGCAACCTGCAAGAAGTCAATCTCAGCCGAATAAACAACTCGGCTCTTGCCACCGTCGTTTGTATGCACGGGATACCAGTGGCCATTATCAACGATCGAGATAAGAAATTGACCATCAACTTCTGGCGGAACCTGTGGGAGCAGTTCGGCACACGACTACAATTTAGTTCGTCATACCACCCTGAAATAGTAGGACAAACAGAATGGACAAACCAAACCATGGAGCAGCTGATTCGAGCCACGTGCGATGACCTGACCACATGGGAAGAACAGCTGCCACTCATCGAATTCGCATACAACAATTCGCCATCCGCTACGACCCAACAGTCACCTTTAAACCTGAACTACGGACAGGAACCCACAGTACCCATGACACCGAATCCCGACAACCCAGTACCACGTGCACAACAGTTCGCCGAAATTTTACAGGCAGCATCGACCGGGACAGCAGACACAATAAAAAAATCAAACATCATCGCTAAGCGCAACACCGACCGCCACCGCCGCCCCGTTACTTACCAGCCCAACGATCTCGCTCTGCTCGACACTCAAAACCTCCGCCTGCACATCACCCCAAAACTCCGCCCTCAATATTGCGGGCCATTTCACATCAACCACATGATCACCCCTGTCACCATCCACCTCCTCCTCCCTGCTGACTGGTACGTCAGCCTGTCATTCCACGTCAGCATACTTTGCCCCTACATGCCTTCCACAAGCCAACTGCCTCGCCACCGCCCAGCCAACATGACACGACCACCCACCGAGCCCATCATCACACCCGAGAAGATTCTGAGCCACCGAGTTCGTGACCCACGTGGAGCTCGCAAGATCGAGTTCTTGATCCGCTGGAAATACCGCACACCGACCGAAGACAACTGGGCACTCCTGGACAAAATTGAAAACCACCCCGTCCTCACCGACTATCTGAGAAGCCGCAATTTCCGGGATGTATACACACTCTCGTAAGGAGGGCCTCCTTAGAGGAGGGGGGGGGGGGGGGGGGGGGGGGGTTGTGTAAGGAAATTTCCATTTCCTTACGCCGCATCCCTGCTTCGCGCATACATCACTTTTCTCGCCACACTTAGCACCGTTACCACTCGCAACACTCGCCTCAACCATTTCCCGCCACCTCGCCCGTCGCAACCCAACCTCACGGCTCGGCTGGCAACCCGCGCTCCGGGCCTTTGCTTCGACACTTCCCAACCTCAGTCACAGGCCTATCGCGCGTCACCCACAGTTCGTTACCATTACCACAGTGGCCTTAGCTATTTAGCTTTCGCTCATTCCTTCGCTCACTGTACTGTTTTGCTTCGATAGTGCAATTCTCGCTCGCTCGCTCAATTGCACCCGTAACATATAGATTGTTTACGCTGTACAACCATATAAGTATAACAACAAACCATAAAATACACTGACGCCCAAGATGCATTGTCTAAAAATTACCCTCTCAAGACCAGGGCCCTAGATATCAGACTTTGTAGTCTTATTCAGAGTCCGTTCAGGCTTTTTTTGTGTACCTAGTCTGAAGTCTAAGAATTTTTTTGTGTACCTTGTCTGATTCCAGAGTTATTTTTTATGAGTTATCTGAAATTTCAGCCTAATTTTATTTGTGTAGGCTGGGCCTCAGACTTGTATCGGGGGTGCACTCTGCAACTGGTAATACAAGGGGTTTCCGCCAGCCTGAATGAAAGGTTATCGGAAACAAACTTCCTCGAAATTTCCTCTCGATACACCCACCCACGTGTGTTTGGGCCAGCACTACAGTAACGATTTCCTCCGGAGAAAACTATGTCAGACTTGTATGACTTAGCCTGTGTAGGCTATAGTGGGGTAGCACATATGGGGTACAACACATTTCTAGGTTTGTACTTGTGCCCAACCTTTCCCTTCGTCAATCATTCCTCATTTCTTCACATGGTATAGAGCAGGTTCCCTAGTGGGAACGCTTCCTAGGGCCCACCACTGAAAATCGAAAAAAAAAAAAAAAAAAAAATCCTGACCGGAGTGCGAGTCGCCCCTGCCCGAATCGCGCCCCGTGGGCCGCCCTCTCGTCGCGTCCCCTGCCCTTAGCAGCCCATCGCGCCCTCCTAGAGGCCCCTCTCACGTCCCCTCGCGCCACCCCTAGCGGCCCCGTCGCCGCCCTTCGCGGCCCGTCGCCGCCCCTCGCGACCCCGTCGCCACCCCTAGCGGCCCCGTCGCCACCCTTCACGGCCCCGTCGCCGCCCCTAGCGGCCCCGTCGCCGCCCCTCGCGGCCCCGTTTCCGCCCCTCGCGGCCCCTTCGCCGCCCGTTACGGCCCCGTCGCCGCCCTTCACGGCCCCATTGCCGCCCCTAGCGGCTTCGTCGCCGCCCCTCGCGGCCCCGTCGCCGCCCGTTGCGGCCCCGTCGCCGCCCTTCGCGGCTCCGTCACCGCCCTTCGCGGCCCCGTCGCCACCCGTTGCGGCCCCGTCCCCGCTCTTCTCGGCCCCTCGTGGCCCCTTCGCGGCCCCGTTGCCGCCCTACGCGGCCCCTCCCCGGTCCCAGCAGCAGCAGCGGCCACCTCTACCGCTGCAGTCACCGCCGCTGCCGGCTGCAGCCGCCTCTGCTGCCGACCGCCGCCGCCGTTGCCGCCGCCGCTGCCGCTACCGAAGCCGCAGTCGCCACCGACGCAGCCAAGACAACAGCCGCCGCAGCAGCCACAGCCGAGGCCCCAGTCGCCGCGGCCGTTGACTACAGCAGCAGCCGCCGCAACTGTCGAGCCGCAGCCGCCGCCGCCACAGCTGCTGACGCCGCCGCCGCCGCCACTGTTGCGGCCCTGTCCCTGCCGGCGCGCCTCGGCCCTGCCTCACCACCTGCCGGCCTCTGCCTACCCGCCCTGGTAAGATCACTCCTGAGAAGCGCCTCTACCACCGTCCTGCTCTTACTGCTAGCCTGCTGCTGCCACTGCTGCCATGGCTGCCCCTAATGTTCTCACTTTTGATGCTGAGGGTCGGGCTGTCGACTTTGAGGTCTAGGTCGATGACCTTCAGATTTTCCTACAGTGCGATAGGAGAGATGGTCTCTCCCTGTTCGATCTCACGTCTGGTGCCTCTCCTGCCCCTCCTGCCAATGCTAACAGCACTGTTCGCTCATAGTGGGCCACACGTGATGCTGCTGCCCGTCTTGCTGTTCGTAGTTACTTGCCCTCCTCTGAGCGTGCGCACTTTGGTCAGTATAAGAGCGCTAAGACCCGGTACGACGCTGTAGTTGCACGCTACTCTTCCCCTACCACTGCTGCTCTTAGTCGCCTCATGTTGCCGTACTTGTTCCCTGACCTCGCCGCCTATTCCACAGTCGCTGACCTAGTTACGCACCTTCGCACTAGTGACACCCGCTACCGCGCTGCGCTTCCTGCTGAGTTCTGCGCCAAGAACCCCCCCCCCCCCCCATGTACATCACCCTCTACTACATAGTCACCCGGCTCCCTGACTCCCTTCGCTCGGTCAGTGACTACTTCCTCTCTGTTTGCCCCACCACACTCACCATTGACCTCCTCGAGGAGCGCCTCCTGGCAGCTGAGAAGAGCATAGTCGATGTAGGAGCCTCTCGTGGTGACCGTGGTACTCCCTTCTTTGAGAGGTGTTCCCCCTCCCCCCTCCTGCCCTCTGTTGCCTCTACTGCTGCGGCCGACCTCGTTGGCCTCGAGTCGGCCGGAGCTACGTCTGCCCCTAGCGGGAGACGCCGCACCGGCAAGGGCAAGGGGGGCAAGGATGCTGGAGGAGCTCGCGGGGGCGGTGGAGGTGGCGGTGGAGGCGGTGGAGGGGGTGGGGGTGGTGGTGGGAGTGGTGGCGGTGGTGGGGGCGTCGGTGGCGGCAGTGGAGGCGGAGGATGCGGCGGCGGTGGTGGTGGGAGCGGAGGAGGCAGAGGTGGCGGCGGTGGCGGAGGTGGCGGCGGCAGCGGTGGGACTGGTCGGGGCGGCTCTGCCCAGAGGGGTGGCTCTGGTGGTGGTCAGCGCCAGCAGCAGCAGCAGCGCACTCGTGAGACCCCGTCCCCCCAACAGCTTTGTCAGTGGTACACTTCACGTCATCGGGGTGGGGGTGCTGGTCCCTGTACCTACGTCCTGCGTACCGGCGACCGTACCGGTGAGCAGTGCGGGGACCCGCACCCCACCCAGCGCTGTTTCGGCCGCCTGACGGACGCCTGGCGTCTCCAGTTCCCTGACGCCACGGAGATCCCTCACTGGGGAGAGCTGCAGAGGTCGGGGGTTGCTATCTTTGATCTTGATTATGATGCTATTCTTGCTGCCATGTATGTTTTGTCTACTAGTGATGAGGGTGACTGTTACCTGTGTGTTCCGCCTGACCCGGGCATTGGGACTGCTGCTCTAGGTGCTGGTGAGGCTGCTGCTCTAGGTGCTAGTGAGTCTGCTTCCCCAGGTGCTGGTGAGTCTGCTCTCTCAGGTACCACGTCGGCTCAGGCCTCCCACACCTTCACCCTTGACTCGGGTGCTTCCCGCTCCTTCTTTCGAGACCGCACCACACTCACGCCGCTTAGTCGGCTAGTTGCGGTCTCCCTGGCAGACCCCTCTGGGGGTCCTGTCCTTGCCCACTTCTCCACTGTCTTACCGTGTCCGGCGGCCCCTTCTGGCACCCTGCCAGGTCTCTACCTCCCCTCGTTCTCTACGAACTTGGTGAGTGGTGCTGACCTACAGGATGGGGGGGTTGACCAGATCACTCCTGCGAGTCAGCGAGTGACCCACTGAGCCTGGGGGTGCTGAGCTTCGGGGTGCTGAGCTTGGGAGTGCTGAGACTTGGGGTGCTGAGACTGGGGGTGCGGAGCCTGGGGGTGCGGAGCTTGAGGGTGTAGGGCCTGCTCGTGTGGCGTCTGGCGGTACTGGGCCTGGAGGTCCTTCGGGTGCTTCATCCCGGAGGGAGCTTCTCTCTCCACAGGAGCTGCGCGAGTGGTTTGCTCGGCGCTGGAGTCGTGCTGCTGGAGCTGGAGGTACTGCTGGTGTTGACGGTTCTACTGCTGCTGAGGGTGCTGGTGCCACGGGTCCCGGAGGTGCTCGTACTAGGGGTACTGGAGCTACTGGGCCTGCGGGTGCTCCTGGTGCTGGAGTTAGTGGTGCTGCTGGAGTAGGTGCTACTGGAGGTGCTGGAGCTGGAGCTGCTCCGTCTTCTGGTGATCCGAGTGGAGCTGGAGGTGCTGCTGGCGCTAGTACTTCTGAGGGTGCTGGAGTTGGCGCTGCTTGAGCTGGGGGTGCTACTGGCGCTGGTGCTGTCAGAATATTATAATTATCTAGCATGTACTGGGGTGCTCTATAGTGAGTACAACCCTGTTAGGGTTTGCTATATCTATCCCAACTGCTGCTAGTGAAACCCCTCTCTCTTCTTCAATTTTCACAGGTGCTGCCGTTGGGGGTACTAGTGCTGTTCTTGCTGTTTCTGGGGGCACGCAACGGCCGTGGCCGTACTTCGTTCCGCTCCTTGAGCAGGTTCTTGGTCTTCCGTCCTCTCTTGGTCCTACTCCTATCTTAGAGTGTCCGCCGCCTGTCCCGTCCGAGTCACAGTTACAGCCAGCCTCCCCACTGCCTGCTCCCTCTCCCTACACTGGTCCTACTGGAGGTCTTACGGAGCGTCGTGAGCCTGCGTCTTGTCCTGCGTTGCCTGTCCGTGCTGCTCGCACGAGTGGTCGTGGTTCGCGTCAGCGTCCTCCGCCTGTCCCCGGCATGCACCGGATGTCTCTGCGTCCTTCCACTGCTCCGCTGCGTGCCCCTTTGCCTTCTCCTCGCGAGTCCTCTCTTCCTGCTCTTGGTGACCCGGAGTCGGACTCCCTTCGTGCTGCCAGTCCTACTGACACGCGTCTCCTTGCTACTGTCGTCACTGACCCTTCCTTTGAGTCCACTGCTGCGTCTGCCTTAGTTGCTGAGCTTGTCGACTGCCTTAGTTCCTAGCGGCCCCATCGCCGCCCCTATCGGCCCCGTCGCCGCCTCCAGCAGCCCCGTCGCCGCCACTTGCCGCCCTGTCGCCGCCCCTTTCGGCCCTTCCTCGACCCTGCCCCGGCCCCGCCCCGGCCATGCTCCGTCGCCAGGCGCGGCGCACCGGGGGCACGTGCACCACGCACCGGGGGCACGTGCACCGTCCCTCCGTCGCCTGTCGAGGCGACCTGGGGGACGGGGGTGAGCTTCGCCCCTTCTGCCGCCTTCTTTGGCGCCCTGGGAGGCCGCGCGTCGCCCCCCCCCCCCCCCCCGTAACCTCCCTACCCGCCGTCTCGCCCTGCCCTGTGTTAGGGTTTGGGGGTGGCGAGTAGGGGGTGGCGGGTGTGTGGTCTCCCCTGCTCCTCCTCCTCCTTTGTCTCCCACTGCTGCAGCTGCCGCTGAGGGGGGTGGGTGTGTGGGAGTCGACGGAGTGGTACTAGGGGGTGGGGGGTGAGTGAACCTAGGGTGCAGCAGGGGGTGTGTGAAAAGGGGGGTGACGTGGGAGTGAAGCTAGGGGTGCAGCAAGGAGTGTGTGAAAGGGGGGGTGGGACAGTTGGGGGAGGTTGAACAGAGGCTGTCGTCGTGTCGTCAGCAGCACCATTAGTTCGGGGCGCTGCTCCGGTAGCCCAGTCGTAGCCAGCTGCGCCAGTCGCTCGTGGGTCCGTTGCTCCTGCCGCTCGTCTTTAGCCGCGGAGCCAGTTCCTCCAGTAGTCCGGGGCGCTGTTCCAGTAGCCGCTGTGCCAGTGTGACTCCTGTTGCCCGTGTGTCTGCAGCTTCAGCCGTCGTCTCCTATCTCCTCTCCTCTTACAGTCTTGCCTCCTCCTCCTCACTTGCCCTTTCTAAATGCCTCTAGCTTTGCTTGTCCTTGTGAACTCCTGCTCTATACCTACTTGCTCATTGTGCTGATTACACCCCACTTTGGCTATGGGGGTGTGTCAGAATGTTATAATTATCTAGCCTGTAGTGGGGTGCTCTATAGCGAGTACAACCCTGTTAGGGTTTGCTATATGAATCCCAACTGCTGCTAGGGAAACCCCTCTCTCTTCTTCAATTTTCACAGATGCTGCCATTGGGGGTACTGGTGCTGTTCCTGCTGTTTCTGGGGGCACGCAACGGCCGCGGCCGTACTTCGTTCCGCTCCTTGAGCAGGTTCTTGGTCTCCGTCCTCTCTTGGTCCTACTCCTCTCTTAGAGTGTCCGCCGCCTATACCGTCCGAGTCACAGTTACAGCCAGCCTCCCCACTGCCTGCTCCCTCTCCCTACACTGGTCCTACTGGAGGTCTTACGGAGCGTCGTGAGCCTGCGTCTCGTCCTGCGTCGCCTGTCCGTGCTGCTCGCACGAGTGGTCGTGGTTCGCGTCAGCGTCCTCCGCCTGTCCCTGGCACGCACCGGATGTCTCTGCGTCCTTCCACTGCTCCGCTGCGTGCCCCTTTGCCTTCTCCTCGCGAGTCCTCTCTTCCTGCTCTTGCTGACCCGGAGTCGGACTCCCTTCGTGCTGCCAGTCCTACTGTCACGCGTCTCCTTGCTACTGTCGTCACTGACCCTTCCTTTGAGTCCACTACTGCGTCTGCCTTAGTTGCTGAGCTTGTCGACTTCGCTGCTCACTGTCGTCTAGACTACACCTCTAGTCTTGCTGCTGAGTCTGCGTCTGTCTGTCCTCCGTCCGTCGGGGGTGAGTGTGCTCTTAGCACGGACGTCCTTGAGGACAAGCAGGAGGAGTTCCAGTGTTTTACGGCTGCTTTGCCTTATCTCGTGTCCATGCTGATTGCCCCTGAGGAAGACCCAGATGCACCGGACATCCCGACTCCTCGATCGTACGCTGAGGCGATCGAGGGTCCCTACTCCTCACGGTGGCAGTCAGCCATGGACGCAAAGATGGCTTTCTTGAAGTCCATAGGCACCTACGTCGACGAGGTTCCCCCACCTGGGGTCAACATCGTCAGTGGCATGTGGACTTTCAGGGTGAAGCGGCCGCCGGGTTCTCCGCCTGTCTTCAAAGCGCGTTACGTGGCTCGAGGCTTCAGTCAGCGGCAGGGAGTTGACTACTTTCAGACCTTCTCTCCCACCCCAAAGATGACCACTCTTCGGGTGCTGCTGCACATAGCCGCTCAGCGCGACTACGAGCTTCACTCTCTTGACTTTAGCACAGCTTTCTTGCAGGGCAGCCTGCACAAGGAGATCTGGCTACGCCGCCCACCTGGCTTCACTGGGTCGTTTCCTCCTGGTACCCAGTGGAGCCTCCGGCGGCCAGTCTACGGTCTCCGCCAGGCACCGCGTGAGTGGCACGACACACTGAGGACTACACTTGCGGCTCTTGGGTTTGCTCCTTCTACTGCCGACCCGTCGCTGTTTCTGCGCACCGACACCTCTTTGCCGCCGTTCTACATCCTCGTGTACGTCGACGACTTGGTCTTTGCCACTGCTGGACTCGCCCACGTGAATTCCGAGCTGCAGAAGAGACACACGTGCACAGACCTGGGTGAGCTGCGCAGCTATCTTGGCTTGCAGATCACCCGGGACAGAGCACGGCGCACCATTACCCTAACTCACTTACACATGGTGCAGCAGGTCCTTCAGCGCTTCAACTTCACGTACTCCTCGCCTCAGGCCACTCCTCTGTCTACTCGCCACTCGCTCTCAGCTCTGCCTTCGGATGAGTCCGTAGAGTCGAGTGGCCCGTACCCAGAGCTTGTTGGCTGCCTCATGTACCTGATGACCTGCACTCGACCTGACCTTGCATACCCTCTTAGCATCTTGGCACGCTATGTTGCTCCTAGGAGACACCGACCAGAGCACATGGCTGCAGCGAAGAGGGTGTTGTGCTACGTGTGCAGTACGTCGGGCATGGGGCTAGTGCTTGGAGGGCGACGTCGAGTAGTCCTCACAGGTCACGCTGACGCTTCTTGGGTTGACGACCAGGCTACGCAGCGGTCGTCACAGGGTTACACCTTCAGCCTTGGCTCCGGCTCTGTTTCGTGGCGGTCTACCCGCTCGTCCTCTGTTCTCGGCTCCAGCTGTGAGGCTGAGATCTACGCAGGGGCCATGGCTGCACAGGAGCTACGCTGGCTCACCTACCTGCTGACTGACCTAGGAGAGCCGCCTCGTTCTCCTCCAGTTCTGTACGTAGACAACAAGGCCATGCTGGCCTTGTGTCGGGAGCACAGACTGGAGCACAGAACGAAGCACATTGCTCTTCGCTACTTTCTTGCTCGTGAGCTACAGCAGCGTGGTCAGCTGCACCTTGCTTACGTGGCCTCTCAGGCCAACACTGCTGATATCTTTACCAAGGCACTTCCGCCTTGTGATCATCAGCGCTGTTGTACGATGCTAGATCTTGTGCCTACTTGGCCTCACTTGCTCACTTCTTGACCTTGCTTGTACTACGATCTTTCTGTACCTGCACTTGCTTATTTACCTTTATATATGATCTTGCATGTGAACTGGCCTTTTGGCCTTGAGCTTGTGCTCGGAATGTGTGGTGACGTTGTGATCCACCCTGAGCTTGCTTTGCTTTGCTTTACTGGTCTTGTGACCTCTTGTTCTCCCCCACTTTGCCTATGGGGGTGTGTCAAACTCATATGCTATAGTCTGTGTAGGCTGTAGTGGGGTAGACAATATGGGGTACAACACTTTTAGGTCTTCCTACTTGTACCCACCTGCTTGCTAGTTCATTCATTCCTTGAGCTTGTGCTCGGAATGTGTGATCCACTGTGAGCTCTCTTTGCTTTGCTTGACTGGTCTTGTGACCCCTTGTTCTCCCCCACTTTGCCTATGGGGGTGTGTTAGACTTGTATGACCTAGCCTGTGTAGGCTATAGTGGGGTAGCACATATGGGGTACAACACATTTCTAGGTTTGTACTTGTACCCAACCTTTCCCTTAGTCAATCATTCCTCATTTCTTCACAAACTACTCGATTAGGGGCACCAGAATACACTACTTCTTCGACGCTATCACGAGTGTCGAATTTGTTGGGGGCTTATAATAACCCTTAAATTGCACATGGCCAAAACGATTTTTGCAAATCGCACATGGCGAAAAGCGAATTGGTGAAAACAAAAGCCTTGTCACATATAAGTTTCGTACTTTAGCAGAACCGCACATCATTTCCCCTTGCCAAACCGAGTCAAAAATACGAAGCTACAACTTTTGGGGAAAATATTCCGCGCAGATACGGTGTAAACTGTTTAAAACTCTTGCTGCTGCCAGCGCGCCTAGCACAGAAAAGGGCCGAGCGATACCGTGCCTGCTGCCAGGTCAGCTGATTGTGAGCTTGCCACGCTTGGCACTTGCACGAGGCCATTGTCTGATGTTGACACCTCGACCCTGACTGCCCAGTGTTCCTAACTTTTGAAAAAATGACCAATTAGAGTGCCCCATTTCTGGCCGCACAGTTGCACTGGTATGATGTAATTAGCTTCAATGCTATTATAACTATGCTTTTACGAAAGTGCTAAACTTTGAAGGTAACTCTGACAATTCAGACAAAAAAAGTTGTGCTTGTCTGAATTTTCAGACTAAACTTTTGAGGCGCCTCTGACAGACAGAGTTCAAGGAGGGGTGTACACTGATCGATCAGAGTGCCTCAAAACGAATCTAGGGGCCTGCTCAAGACTAATAGCAAAGGTGATAGTAACTGCTGTGACAGGTGGAATTATGTGATAATGTACATTCCACTCTACACCTGAACAGAACATAACGGATTTAGTGCGTGGGTTATATTTAATACGATAACCGGGTTGCTTAAAGCCAGCAACTAAAATAGTGACCCCCCCCCCCCCCCCCCTTCTAGTTGGGTCCACTTGAAAACAGAAGTTTTTTTGGAACACTTGAGACAGTTGGAAGTGCTGTGCATATTTATTTTTTCACTCCATACGAGTCTCACTGTGAAGGGAGAACATTTGGACCATGTGTACGATTCTGATTGACAGTGACACTCACACACAACTCACACATACTTTTGTGCGAATTTGGCGCAAGGTTGCAATGCCTGTATTCACTCGAGCAGTCATTCTAACTTCACCAAAACTCACATCAATCAACAACACAAGCAAAGTCCAGCGTGCACATATGCAAAAGTTGAGAGCAGAGCTGCGTGAAAAGACGTTTCCTTGGTCTTGGGGCTGAAATAGGTTAAAAATTGGGGTGTCCAAGAACGAGGGGAGAAAATAAGGTAATAACCAGCGGATGGGAGGGGAGATCAAAAGAGCGACGGGAAGAAAGGGGAGAGAGGAGGAACGAGGGGATGGGAGGGAAGAGGAGGCGAACGACGGGATGGGAGAGAGGTAGCGAACGACGGATGGGAGGGGAGAGGAAGATTTCGACGGGATGGGAGGAGGCGAACGCGGGATGGGAGAGAGGTGGCGAACGACGGATGGGAGGGGAGAGGAAGAGTTCGACGGGATGGGAGGAGGCGAACGCGGGATGGGAGAGAGGTGGCGAACGACGGATGGGAGGGGAGAGGAAGAGTTCGACGGGATGGGAGGAGGCGAACGTGGGATGGGAGGGGAGAGGAGGAACCTGAGCGCGATGGCGATGGGAGGGAGGAACGTGAGCGCGATGGCGAGGGGGAGAGAGCGCGAAGGCGAGGGCGGAGAGAGCGCGCAGAAGACGGGATGGGAAGGGAGAGGAGGTGAACGACGGGATGGGAGGGAAGAGGAGGAATTCGACAGGATAGGAGATGAAGTGGGCGACGGAAGAGAGGGGAAATTGCAAGGGCGACGGGATGGAGAGCCCGAAGGCAAGGGGGGAGAAAGCGCGAAGGCGAGGGGAGGGAGAGCGCGAAGGCGACGGGAGGGAGAGCGCGCAGGCGACGGGAGGGAGAGCGCGAAGGCGACGGGAAAAGTGATGGGAGAGGAGAGAGGAAGGGCGCGAGGAGGCTGTTTCAGAGAGAGAGCGTAGGCGACGAGGTGTGTGATGGGAGGGGTTAGAAGAAAGGCGTTGGGAGGAGGGCATTTCGGGGAGAGAGCTATAGCCGACGAGGTGAGCGACAGGAAGGGAGGAGGGAGAGCGAAGGTGACGGGGAGGGAGGGAAGAAAGAGAGGGCGACGGGGGGGGAGGAGAGAGACCCACGAAGGTGATGGGAGAGGAGTGGACAGGGACGAAGGACTGGAGGGTAGGGTGTGAGAAATCGAGGAATGAAATGACTAGGAAACAAGTGAGTACAAGTAGGAAACCCTAGAAATGTTGTACCCTATAGTGTCTACCCCACAACAGCCTAGATAGACTATAGTATATAAGTTTGACACACCCCCATAGGCAAAGTGGGGGAGAACAAGAGGTCACAAGACCAGTCAAGCAAAGCACAGCAAGCTCAGGGTGGATCACAACGTCACCACACATTCCGAGCACAAGTTCAAAGGCCACAAGGCCAGTTCACATGCAAGATTATATATAAAGGTAAACAAGCAAGTGCAGGTATAGACAGATCACAGTACAAGCAAGGTCAAGAAGTGAGCAAGTGAGGCCAAGTAGGCAAAAGACCTAGCATCATACAAAAGCGCTGATGATCACAAGGCGGAAGTGCCTTGGTAAAGATATCAGCAGTGTTGGCCTGAAAGGCCACGTAAGCAAGGCGCAGCTGACAACGCTGCTGCAGCTCACGAGCAAGGAAGTAGCGAAGAGCAATGTGCTTCGTTCTGTGCTCCAGTCTGTGCTCCCGACACAAGGCCAGCATGGCCTTGTTGTCTACGTACAGAACTGGAGGAGAACGAGGCGGCTCTCCTAGGTCAGTCAGCAGGTAGGTGAGCCAGCGTAGCTATGAGAGTACGACGGCTTATGCCAGCTATGCTTGCTTGCCTTACTTTATTATGCTATTTCTAGCATAGGATAATCATATGCATGCATGAATTGCTTGATTTCCTAGGCTAGGTGCTTTCCTATATTTTAGTTATAGCACCAAGCTAGGTTGCGTGCACCGAATTCTAGCCTTTTTGGTTGCAACCGAATTGCCTTCTACCGAATTCGGTAAGGATCTGTTCGGGACGCTACGCGGCCCACGGAACCTTCGCGTAACACCTGGTTACGGGGCCTTGTGTCGAGCCTATATATAGCCTCGTGTTGTACCCAGGTGATCATTCAATTCGACTCAATTCTCATTCTCTTTTCAGAGCTCGATCCTAGATCCTCACAGTAGCTCCTGTGCAGCCATGGCCCTTGCGTAGATTTCAGCCTCACAGCTGGAGCCGAGAATAGAAGACGAGCGGGTAGACCGCCACGAAACAGAGCCAGAACGAAGGCTGAAGGTGTGGGCCTGTGACGACCGCTGCGTAGCCTGGTCGTCAGCCCAAGAAGCATCTGCGTGACCAGTGAGGACCACTGAACGCCGCCCTCCAAGCACTAGCCCCATGCCCAACGTACTGCACAAGTAGCTTAACACCCTCTTCGCTGCAGCCATGTGCTCTGGTCGGTGTCTCCCAGGAGCAACATAGCGTGCCAAGATGCTAAGAGGGTATGCAAGGTCAGGTCGAGTGCAGGTCATCAGGTACATGAGGCAGCCAACAAGCTCTAGGTACAGGCCACTCGGCTCTACGGACTCATCCAAAGGCAGAGCTGAGAGCGAGTGGCGAGTAGACAGAGGAGTGGCCTTAGGCGAGGAGTACGTGAAGTCGAAGCGCTGAAGGACCTGCTGCACCATGTGTGACTGAGTCAGGGTAATGGTGCGCCATGCTCTGTCCCGGGTGATCTACAAGCCAAGGTAGCTGCTCAGTTCACCCAGGTCTGTGCACGTGTGTCTCTTCTACAGCTTGGACTTCACGTGGGCGAGTCCAGCAGTGTCAGCAGTGGCAAAGACCAAGTCGTCGACGTACATGAGGATGTAGAGCGGCGGCAAAGAGGTGTCGGTGCGTAGAAACAGCGACGGGTCGGCAGTAGAAGGAGCAAACCCAAGAGCCGCAAGTGTAATCCTAAGTGTGTCGTGCCACTTACGTGGCGCCTGTCGGAGACCGTAGACTGGCCGCCGGAGGCTACACTGGGTACCAGGAGGAAACGACCCAGTGAAGCCAGATGGGCGGCGCAGCCAGATCTCCTCGTGCAAGCTGCCCTGCAAGAAAGCTGTGCTGAAGTCAAGAGAGTGAAGCTCGAAGTCGCGCTGAGTGGCTATGTGGAGCAGCACCCAAAGAGTGGTCATCTTCGGTGTGGGAGAGAAGGTCTGAAAGTAGTCAACTCCCTGTCGCTGACTGAAGCCTCAAGCCACGTAACGCGCCTTGAAGACAGGCGGAGAACTCGGCTGCCGCTTCACCCTGAAAATCCACATACCAGTGACGATGTTCGCCTCAAGTGGGGGAACCTCGTCAACATAGGTGCCTGTGGACTTCCAGGAAGCCATCTTTGCGTCCATGGCTGACTGCCACTGAGAGGAGTAGGGACCCTCGATCGCCTCAGCGTACGATCGAGGAGTCGGGATTTCTGGTGCATCCGGGTCTCCCTCAGGGGCAATTAGCATGGACACGAGATGAGGCAAAGCAGCAGCAAAATACTGGAACTCCTCCTGCATGTCCTCAAGGACGTCCGTGCTAAGAGCACACTCACCCCCGACGGACGGAGGACATACAGACTCAGACTCAGAAACAAGACTAGCTGCATAGTCTAGACGATAGCGAGCAGCAAAGTCGACAAGCTCAGCAACTAAGGCAGACGCAGCAGTGGACTCAAAGGAAGGGTCAGTGACAGCAGTAGCAAGGAGACGCATGACAGTAGGACTAGCAGCACGAAGAGAGTCAGACTCCGGGTCAGCAAGAACAAGAAGAGAGGACTCTGGAGGAGACGGCAACGGGACACGCAGGGGAGCACTGGAAGGACGCAGTGCCATCTGGTGTGTGCCCACGACCGCAGGAGGACGCGGACGCGGAACACGACGACTAGTGCGAGCAGCACGAAAAGGCGACGCAGGACGAGACGCAGGCTCACGACGCTCAGCAAGACCTCCAGTAGGACCAGTGTAGGGAGAGGGAGCAGGCAGTGGGGAGGCGGGCTGTAACTGCGACTCAGACTGCACAGGCGGCGGACACTCTAAGGAAGGAGCAGGACCAGCAGAAGGCGGGAGACCAATAACCTGCTCAAGGAGCGGAACGAAGTACGGCCGCGGCCGCGCAGCGCCTCCAGAGCGGGTAGGGATAGCAACAGCACCCCCAGCGGCAGCACCAGCACCAGTAGCACCCCCAGCTGCAGCACCGCTAACCCCAGCTCCCAGAAGCACCAGCGCCAGCAGCACCTCCAACGCCAACACCCCTAGCAGCTCCAGCTCTAGCCGGACCACCGGAAGACTCAACAGCCACAGCTCCAGCACTTCCAGCAGCACCTACTCCAGCAGCACCGCCAGCAGCGACACCGCCAGCAGCTCCAGCACCAAGAGCACCCCCAGGCCCAGCAGCTCCAGTACCTCCAGTACGAGCACCTTCGGGACCCGTGGCACCAACACTCTCAGTAGCAGCAGAACTTCCAGCTTCAGCAGCACGGATCCTGCGCCGTGCAAACCACTCGCGCAGCTTCTGTGGAGAGGGTAGCTCCCGCCGGGACGAAGCACCCGAGGGACCTCTAGACTCTACACGAGCAGGCCCAGCACCCTCAGGCTCCGCACCCCCAGGCTCAGCACCCCCAGACGCAGCACCCCCAGGCTCAACACCCCAAGGCTCAACACCCCAAGACTCATCACCCCCAGGCTCAGCACCCCCAGGCTCAGCACCCCTAGTAGCACCAGAGTCAACAGCTACCTCGACAGGCTCGACTGCGTCTACCTGGGACACACCTGAGGGGGCAGGACCCTGAGGGGGAAGGGGGTCTACCGGAGGGGGACCTGGCGCGAGGAAGAGCGGCGGCGGGGGGAGGGGCGCAGTGCGGTAGGGGAAGAGACGGTAGTAAGGAACCGACTCGTCAAACGTGACGTCCTGTGAGGACAGAACACAGCACGAGGTGGGTTGGTAAAACTGCCAACCAGGCGCGTCAGGGGGGAAGCCAAGGAAGACGCAGGGAACAGCACGGGGGGACAGCTTGTCCGCAGACAAGTCGCGGACAAAGGCCCAAGATCCCCAGACACGAAACGCAGACGCATCGCCAACCTTCCCCGTCCACCGCAGAGTAGGGGAGGTCTCCCGCAAGGAGACCCGGGGTTGAAGGTTCATCTGATGCACCGCGTACTGAACCGCGAATGGCCACAAAAAATGGGGAGCAGCCGCATGAATCATGGACGTACGAGCGACGTCCATGACCATGCCAATGCGGCGCTCAGCAATCCCATTTTGCTGTGGAGAGGCCGGAAGCGTGAACGTCTGGCGGATGCCCTACGCACGACAGAAGGCTCCCAGAAGGTCAGAGGAAAACTCTCCACCCCTGTCAGAGTGCAGACGCAGAAAAGGAAAGTCTGAGCCAAAACTCTCTCTGAGCTGGAGACGAGCTGCGCGGATCCAGTCGATCAACACCTCAGTGACGTCAACCTTGCTGCGCAAGGGGAAGACCGTGGTGTAACGCGAGTAGTCATCAACCACCAGCAAGAAGTAACGCTCATGACCCTGGCCACGGACACGGTCGGGGCCCCACACGTCCATGTGAAGAGTCTGCAGCGGAGCCTCTGTCGGAGGAAACTCGGAGGAGTGAGGGGCGGCGCGCTGCCGCCCCTCGACGCAAGGTACGCAGGTAGGGGCAGGCCCCGGAGGGAGGGGAGGGAGGGACCGGGGGAGACCAGAGACGAGGTAACGGGAGGCCATGCCTCGGAGACGAGGCAGGAAGGGGTGACCAAGGCGGTGGTGCCAGAGGAGGGTCCAGTGGGACAGGAGACGGCACAAGCATGGAGCAGACTCAGGACCAGACCTGGACGCTGCAGCAAAAACCTGACCCGACGTCGCTACCTGACCAGACTCAGCAACCGGAGGAGACTCAGTAGTCAGTGTGTAAAAGCTCGACCCCGGCTGACGAGTAAACGTGGCCAAGTGTCGGCCCGTCCGAGCACACGTACAGTGGGTCACCCGCTGACTCGCAGGAGTGAACTGGTCAACCCCCCCATCCTGTAGATCAGCACCACTCATATAGTTCGTAGAGAACGAGGGGAGGTAGAGACCTGATAGGGTGCCAGAAGGGGCCGTCGGACACGGTAAGACAGTGGAGAAGTGGGCAAGGACAGGACCCCCAGAGGGGTCTGCCAGGGAGACCGCAACTAGCAGACTAAGCGGCGTAAGCGTGGTGCGGTCTCGAAAGAAGGAGCGGGAAGCACCCGAGTCAAGGGTGAAGGTGTGTAAGGCCTGAGCCGACGTGGTACCTGAGAGA